AAAAAAAAAAAAGAAACTTACTAATGAATGTCCTAAGATATGTAATTTGCCTTGGTTTATCAGCCATTTTCTCCCAGAAGATAAAGTGGTATATAGTGAAAATATAATTTTGAATTCAGATAGACTTCCCTTACAGCCCCACCTCTGTCCCTTACTAGCTATAGATTTTTGGAAATATTTAACCTCATTGAATCTTGATTTCCTTATCTATAAAATGGAGGGAAAGTGAGGATTTTCTTGTAGTTGTTATGAAGATTGAGATTCATGTAATAGAGGATCTAGCTCAATGCTCAACGCATAGTAAGTACTCAACAGACAAGGTTAGTTCCCTTCTAGACTTGTCATATGATCATATCCATTGTAGATAAATACAGTGAGTAGTATAACATGAAACACTGTAGACATAGAAGTATTTAAAGAAGACAATTATATTTCCACTTTAAATTTTAGCTCCAACTAAATACAGTCCTATTTGTCAAATAATATCTAAAACTTCACTTTCTATGGTTGTTTGCCAAAAACAAAAGATAAAATTTTATAATTACAAAATTTTAACAATTGGAACAAAGAATAATTTAAAATTATAATAAAAAGTAAAGCTTAGTTTACAAATTTTCTAAATGAACTGTATTTCAATGAGGTTTTAAATAAAATTTCATTTGTCCAGAAGATTATTTTTGCTACTTGATTATTTGACCCTTGATAATAGTTTTAAAAATATTAATCTTAAGGCAAAATTCTTTTATTTTGAGAACTTTATCAGCTGAGTATCACTTAGATTAAGATTTAAAGCTGTATTTACTATCAACAATAGCCAAAGTATGGAAAGAGCCCAAATATCCATTGATGGATGAATGGATAAAGAAGATGTGGTTTATATACACAATGGAGTATTATTTGGCAATCAGAAAGAATGAAATCTTGCCATTTGCAACTACGTGGATGGAACTGGAGGGTATTATGCTAAGTAAAATTAGTCAGAGAAAGACAAAAATCATATGACTTCACTCATATGAGGACTCTAAGAGACAAAACAGATGAATATAAGGGAAGGGAAACAAAAATAATATAAAAACAAGGAGGGGGACAAAACAGAAGAGACCCATAAATATGGAGAACAAACAGGGTTACTGGAGGGGTTGTGGGAGGGGGGATGGGTTAAATGGGTAAGGGCACTAAGGAATCTACTCCTGAAATCATTGTTGCACTGTATGCTAATTTGGATGTAAATTTAAAAAAAAATAAAATAAAATAAAAGAAGTTTTGAAAAGACAAACAAAACAAAACAAATAAAGAATTCATCAGTTGCCTTATAGAGTCAAGGTACAAATTCTAATTCATCTCTATATCCTAATTTTAAAAAATGGAAATTTTATAAATGATACTTTTAATGATATAATAAAAAATGTTGAAAGACTAAAAAAAAGATTTAGAGCTGTATTTTAAATTGTTTTGGGGAACAAAAATAGTAAGGGAATTATAAAATGTATGCTGTTGAAAATAAATTATTAGTGGATATTCACATGGAAAAAAAATAACTTTGATCCCTACTTCATACCATACACAAATAATAATTTGACTTGAATCTTAGGTCCAAATGTGAAAACTAAAATTAAGGATTTAGAAGAGAATGAAGGAGAATGTTTTCGTGACTTTGGAGTAGGCAACAATTTCTTTTTTTAATTACAGCTTTGTAGAGGTATAATTGACATATAAAATTGTCAGATGTTCCCAATTTTTTTCCTATTTCCCCCACATCCAAGGCAATGATGTCTCATAACACAACACTAATCATAAAAGAAAAAATTGATTGGGGTGCCTGGGTGACTTATTTTGTTGAGTGTCTGACTTCGGCTCAAGTTGTGATCTCAGGGTTCCTGAGTTAGAGCCCTGAATGGGCCTCGTTACCATCAGCACAGGGCCTGCTGCGGGTCCTCTGTCTCCCTCTTTTTCTCCCCTCCCCTGCTCAAGGTCTCTCTCAAAAATAAATAAAACATTAAAAAAAAGAAAAAAATGGGTTAATAGGCTTTATCAAAATTTAACACTTCTCATTAAAAGACTCCATTAATACCTATCTGACAAAGGTCTCATACTCAGAATCTTTGGAGAACTCCTATAAACTAATTCTTAAAAAGAAGCTAAACAACTCAATTAAAAATGGGCAAAAGAACAGACACTTCATAACTTAGTTAATAAACAATAATTATAGGGGCACCTGGGTGGCTCAGTGGGTAAGCGGCCAACTTCAGCTCAGGTGATGATCTCGCAGTCCGTGAGTTCTAGCACTGCGTCGGGCTCTGTGCTGACAGCTCAGAGCCTGGAGCCTGCTTCAGATTCTGTGTCTCCCTCTCTCTGACCCTGCCCTGTTCATGCTCTGTCTCTCCCTGTCTCAAAAATAAGTAAACATTAAAAATAAATAAATAAACAAACAAACAAATAAATAAATAATTATAAAAAGGCCTTAATGTAGGAGAATGCAATACAATACTATATGAACAGTGAGACTCTACATTTATCAATATGGAAAGATGTTATCTTGCAGGCTGCAAAACAGAGGTTTGGTATCCTAGTTATGTAAAGTTATATGACATTATATGCATTTGTATACATAGGAAAATATTTGGGAAGAAGTTCCCAGACACAAAATATGTATAACTTATTTTTCCCCTCCAGGTTCTCAAGTCTAATGTTTGGTGTTGAGAACTCATGGCATCCA